GCTGAAGTGGTGGACTGACCGACTAACTGGACTGACCAACATTGCAATACTTACAAAGCCACGCCTGGAGTGACCCCAGTGACAGTGTTGTACAATTGTACCTCTTTATTCCAAGAGGAGAATAAAGACTTTATGATACAGGGAAACACTCTGGAACATCTATGTACCTTAAATTGATATTGTTCTGTCACCAGCAATTTTCAAGGTCAAGGGTGAACTGCAAAGCACAGATAGATATGATACTTGTGGTTTATTTTTCCCCACAGATCTTTTTTCTCTGTGACTCACCCTTTGGCTCCTCAGCCTTACCTCCTGACCAGTAGGCCTTGACTTTATCCATGTGACAAAGTTGTAACAGAGTAACAGGTCCGTACCAGTGTGGAGGCAGTGATCAAATCTGTAAAAGGTTATGTGAGTTCTCAGCTATCAAGTGCTCAATATCAGTTTATAATCTACCACTTGTGAAAAGTTGGCACAGATCCAGATTAACAGATATAAGATGCATATTATAGTCATTTCTGAGAATGATTGCTCAACGTGTTCGTGCTCATCTTGTTGATAGATCAATTTACAAGAAATAGTTTATCTTTATCATAGTCTGTTTCTAAAACTGACTCAACGCTCAAGCTGGTTACTGTGTCATTTTAGCTCTATGATGCTGTGATGCAGCACTATAAGAGTAGCATGTGAAATCAGATTAAAAACTGCTGACTGATTTATGTCTATGTCACCACAGAGTCATCAGTTCATATGTAAATCATGTTCAAATAAAAAACCTCACTTTCTATTCAATGTGCAATATATTTTAGATAAGAAACACCGCATTACCATTGTGTTCACTATTTTGCAGTGCTCTCTTGACCTTGACAAGTACGATTAAAATGTGCTTCTCATTTACCTGTTTTTCTCAGGATAGCGAGGTGTAAGTTGTACAGCTGGGTCACTGCAGCTGCTTTATTTGACTATGTGACTACATTATCATTTGTGAAACTTGCTGACGTGCCTTTTAAATGATCAAGCTGTAGCTGAAAATGTAATGTACAGAATGTCAGACTATTTAGCCAGACGGAGGTTTTCCCCTTTCGTCATGCACTGCTACCTGTTAAACCATCATTGCATACTGGTGACTAATTCATGGCTTCTCAATGTTTTTTCACCATTTTAGGCCCAAGAAGTGTCATTCACATGTCATGGTGTGAATCTGACTTTTCTTAACAGCATGTAGTAGGACGAGGCTCCAAATTGACTGAAATGAATATATTTAAAACCAGGATACTTGTCAATATAAGGTTATAGAATATAGAGCATCAGGCAGTCATAGTCCTCCAGTAAAGGTTAATCTGATGCAGATTTGGCACCTTTTTCTGTTATACACATAGGTGTAGATTTCAGGGGGGACATGGGGGACACACTCCCCTAAATATTTAGAATGTGCAAATAAAAACATTAAAGTAGCAGAGGACTGTTATTTTGACAAAATTAGACATTTACGACATATATTGATGCAGAAACCGCACAAATTGGTGCACAAAAATACACCAGAATGCAGGAAAACAAGTGTTTGATGCTCAATTTTTTCTCAACCGCAAATGTTCATACAGGCAACATTCAATGAAACCAAGTACATTAGTTCTCAACAAAGCCACCATCTCTTTGCAAAGATAAAATGACCTCATTGTGAATCTATAATCTTCACCGTGGGACCTGATGCATCATTGTCTTCTATTTTTGTCTATGAGGGTATAAAGTTTAATATTGACTTGCTACAGTATGTCACACACTGCGTTTTATAGGCTCATAGATCAAAGCACTGAAGTCAACTTGCTGCACTTTGCTGCAAGTGATACTGTGAGTGAAACCTCTCAGTCAACCACTTTCTTCAGCAGCTTGTTCCCAGAAGGAAGACACTCATCTGATCATGACACAGACGTTTCCCCATGTCTCACTCTGATCAAAACCGAGAAATGCAACCAGCATTCGGTAGAAGACTGAAGAGCTGATGGCCCACACGCTCCGCATCTAGTGTTGACAATATGCTAAAAGTCCTATTAGGTCAGGAAGTGAAACTGTGTGGAGATAGCACCCCACTCCTGTCCTACAGAGGGCATTCACAAGGGCCAAAACACCTCCACAAAGGTAAGACACGCTCACAGGAAACAGGTCTGATGTAAACACTTTGCTTGACTAATAAAGACTTCAAACCAGGTCATTGCTGGGTTTGTAAACTCAGACTTATGCCACAAAATCAATCCTGAGTCTCAAGATGAGTTTGTATTTTATCATCAGTTTTATTTGAACTTCAATTGACGCAGCTGGTATCAAAGGGACTTTCTGCTTTGCCATGTTTCATGCCAGTGTGGTCAGCTGTGTGACTATTTGTCATGCTGTTCATTTCCCTTTACTCTTGGCAATACCAATGAACTTTGCATTTCCCTGTCTTCACAGAACGTTCTTGTTTTTACAAAACATATCACGTGAATGTTTTTTAACTCAGCAGCAGCTGACCGCTGTTGTTTTTTTGATGCAACGCCTACACTTCTGTCCCAGCTGGCACCGGATGTCAATATGAAGTCAGCAAGACGTTGGACTCTTACATTGGACAGACTTAAAACTTTGGTTGGAATTAAAATCGGGTTGGAGATATTTTAAAATATCTAAAGACGTTAGAATTTCATGTTGTGTGGACATTGACATCATATCTTTTTGCAGACTTTGGGTTTAGTTCTCCATACTCTTATTCTACGTCAAGATGATGTTGGCATGAGATGTTTGGACCAATGTTGGACAACACTGGTAACAACAAAGTTTAAAACCAACAAATATATATGTCATCTGTTGTCAGTATTCTACGTCAAATTGACACTGGCAGACCTTGTCCCAACATTGAGTTTGGTCACCTGACGTCACAACCTAAACTCAACCAAATGTCAGCATCTAAAGACGTCTACCAGAGTCATAGAGTAAATTTTTGGGGGGATGAAACAAATCCAAATCCAGTTAAACGCGTAGTTTGACATTTTTGGAAACATACGTATTTACTTTCTTGCCAAGAGTTAGAGAAGACTGATAACACTTTCATATTGTCTGATTAGCTAGCAGCCAGTTAGCTTAGTGTAGCATAAATACTGGAAACAGGGAAACAGCTAGCCTGGCTCTGTCCAAATAAAAGATCTGCCTTCTAGCTCTTCCAAGTTGACTCATAAACTCGTCATATCTTTTGTTGTGTAACCTGTTCAAACACTCGAAGGCGCAGTAACTTGGTGGAGTCGTCTGCCTCCAGTCTTTATGCTAATCTAAGCTAACCACCTCCTGGAGTGGTATTTTAATTCTCAAAGGCTGACTTCTTCATTTGAAGGAACAGTTCATCTCCAAATCAAAATACATATTTTACCTCTTGCCCACAGAAATGTCTGCCTTCTCTCGAATGTAATAGAACTAGACCAGCCAACTGTATCACCATGCAGAAGGAAGCGTGCATCTACTAATGGACGAGAGGCTCATGCTTGTGACAGTGTCAGATAATGGCGTCTTCCTCGGCTGTGCTGTAACATTAGCTAGCTCATTGGTGCTTCTCAAAGGAAGGATCCTTAAATGGTGGAATTCCTGCTGAAGGATTCTTCCAATGTCAAGGATCCTTCAAATTCAACCAAGGACAGAGTCCTTCCGCCAGAGAATTTTTTAAGGATGCATGTGTGTATCCTCAGTGGGTGTGTAGCACTGAGGATAGCTCACTGAGGAAGCAATTCTTTGCACACGATCTGCCGGAATTGAAGGCGTAGCCCCCTCAATGATACACACCTGGACACTCGCTAGCCTGTTCTAATGTGTGCTCACCGAATGCTAGGAGGTAGTCTTGCCTAGCCTAGAACTCGTCCTTCTAGCTTTTCATATGATTCATAAACCCGTCATGTCTTTTTTCGTCATCTGCCTGTAGTCTTTATGCTAATCTAAGCTAACCACCTCCTGGATCCAGATTCATATTTACCTTACAAACATTAGGGTGGAATTTTATTTATTTTCACAGTTTGTTTAAAGACATTGCCGTTGAGTTGTTTCAAATGTGTTTTTTGGCACTTTAAGCACAACAAGCCGAGTCCCATTTAGTTCCATTATATCAGAGAGAAGGCAGACATCTCTACGGCCGATTTCTTCAACACTCGGCAACTCACACTAAAACAATTTAGACTGATAAATGACACTACAGGTAAGAGGAAAAATGTGTATTTTTTATTTTTGGGAGAGTTATCCCTTTAAATGAACATTAACAAGTTGAACATCACTTTATTTTTTATCATAGAAGTGGATATTGTTTTCTAAGAAGACTAAAGCACATTTCATCACCACTTAATGAAGTGAAATTCTCAGAAAATCCAAAACTGCACAAATAGACTTCCCTCACAATGTTGACACGCTAGTTTATTCAGTAAGAGGTCATTTTAAAGGGAAAGATAACAGTTGCTTTGACAGTGATTTTAGGCCACACTGCCTTTAAGCAGCTGGAAGTTATATGAAACAATGCTGCTTACAGCATCTCAGCATCGGCCACCTCTTCAAGTTCTGATCTTAAATCACACCCCATGGTTTTCAGTTTCATGTATCACTCATCTGAGGTGTTAAGTGCTCCACCTGTATATACAAAGTCTGTCAAAAATGGGCTTCGACTTGATAAAACTTACTCGGCTGTGGAAGGAATGTGGGTGTATTGTTTTGGTTCTAGTTTGATGGCCATGCCTCAGTGGGTTAAGTCTAAAAATCACAGCTTCCTTGTGAAACTGGCACACTGTCGCCACTGTTTAAAGATCATACTTGAAAATAAGTTGCCTTTCAGTTTGATGGATATTTTTATACAGCTGCATTTGGACAAAGAAATACAGCACCAAGAGTCATCTTGTTTTTTTCTGAACATAGAGATGGAGTGATGTGTATCAACACGTGATCCTGTGGTTAAAGGGAACTCATATAAGCCAGTGAAGATGAGTCTGGTTGTTAAAGTTACCAGCTGTAGCTACAACCCAGACAAAGAGACAGAACTGTGACTGAGAGGTTGCTCTCTACATCACATCACTGACTGGGTAAGTAATTTGTTGTACTGGGAGAACATTTACATGGCATGTTCTATTTAACCTTTATTTACCCCTGTTGTTTCCATGTTATATTTTATGCTTGTTGCATTTGTACAGAGTAAAAAGAGTTTTGGTGTGTTGTCTTATTGTATGTCTCGTGGTTCTTTGTAGATAAAAATGGAGGAACCATTTACAACTTATGCAACAACATATATGACCACAGGAATGGATTATGGTGGAACTGTAAGTATTCATTTGAGGGAACTATCTGTGGCCATAGCACTGGTGAAAAACAATGAAGCAGTTATATAAGAAAATGCTGATGTCTGAATAATAGAGTGGATGAAAAAGGCTGTAATCAAAGACGCTGTAAGTGCTGATTATTTACCATAACATCTGTGATTTAAGTGCATGTTTGTCTCATTTTTTTATGCTGTAATATTTAAAGTATGATTTTAAAGAAAACTGTATGGTAAAACTTAAAACTCAGATTGCTGTGTGGAGAAAAAAAACATGTCACTGCTCTTTATATGACGTATTTGGTATTCTTAGGTACAGTAGATTTATCTAAAGCAGACATCTCTAGGATACTCAAATGTCACATTCACAGCCGCATCAGCATCAAATTTTCCATTGTCTGTGAAGCTTCAGCTTGTTTATCTCTGCCCTAAATCTAAACTTGATGCCTCTGGGGTACTGGGTTCTGCTGCAAGCCCCTTTCTGGAGCCCCTCAGGATCGTTTAACACTGCTGCCCCCCCACCCCCCACCCTCCCCCCACAAGGCTTGGATAGCAGCAGGAAGTTGTGCAGTTGTGTGGTTTCTCCTGCATAGACACACCACCTGCACCTGACAGCAGTTTTTTTGCACGCTCTGGTTAGCTTGTACGTCACTGACAGCGTTTGATGTCATATCACTGTATGCCCACTAGAAGTATGCTGCGCTGTGAAACCTGACAGCAGCTTGTGAGTCTGGTAACAAGGACAGAGAAAAAAAAAAGCACCTGACAGGAAATGAAAAGTGAGGCGAGAAAAAAGCAGTGTATCTGTTGCACAAAATGTTCTTTAATGCCACACTGGATGATCTGTTTGTCTGTTTGTGATTGCAGGACCCCTCTGACTACCCAGATGACTATGGTTCAGGGCCGACTGAAAACTCAGGCTTCTGTGACAGAAGCTGGGTCAGGCGGTTTCGTGGGCAGTACGAGCCACCTCTCTTCTGGATCATCTTCATCCTTGGTGCTGTTGGTAATCTGTTGGTGGTGTGGATCTACACCACTGTGCGCAACCGCCTGAAAACAATGACTGACGTGTACCTGCTGAACCTTGCCGTGGCTGACCTCCTCTTCCTGTGCATGCTGCCCTTCTGGGCTGTTGACGCCATCAAGGGCTGGGACTTTGGCATCAGTCTTTGCAAAATGGTGTCCGCTGTCTATAAAATCAACTTCTTCAGCAGCATGTTCCTGCTCACCTGCATTAGCGTGGACCGCTACATTGCCATTGTACAAGTCACCAAGGCCCAGAACCTGAAGAAAAAGAGGCTGTTCTACAGCAAACTTGCCTGCCTGGGTGTCTGGTTTGTCTCCATTCTCCTGGCCCTCCCTGAGTTTGTCTTCGCCCAGGTGAAGATGCCCCAAACTGGGCAGTCCTTCTGTACTCTGGTCTACTGGAACAATGCATATAACCGGACTAAGATCCTGGTGCTGTCCTTGCAGATCTGCATGGGCTTCTTCCTTCCTCTACTGATTATGATCTTTTGTTACTCTGTCATAATTCGCACACTTCTGCAGGCCAAGAGCTTTGAAAAGCACAAGGCCCTGCGTGTCATCTTTGCTGTGGTGTTTGTGTTTGTTCTCTCTCAGCTGCCCTACAACAGTCTGCTGATCGTGGAGGCCACGCAGGCAGCTAACACTACCATCACCGATTGCAAAACTGTAATTGGTTTTGATGTAGCTGGACAGGTTGCCAAGAGTTTGGCGTACACTCACGCCTGCCTGAACCCATTCCTGTACGTCTTCATCGGAGTTCGGTTCAGACAAGACCTCCTGAGGATTGTGAAGATGTGTACTGGCGGTCTGAGCAAAGGAGGGCTCAGTAAAATACAGGCAGTTCCCAAACGTCCCTCTGTCATGTCAGACACTGACACCACCCCAGCCCTTTCCATATAAATGCCCATTTTCCTAAAATCCTAAACCTGAGACCTGAGCCTAGTTCAACATGATCATATTTTGTTCCTCATGCATTACTCGCTACTAACAGAGCAAATTTTCAACTTTAAAACCAAAAATAGTATTTGGAATTTACATTCATGACATTCATATTCCGACAGTCGTAAGCACATTTTTTTTTATAAAAGCACTGTATAAACTGTATATTAGTGTAAATAATGTTTTTTTACACTTGTGTTTGTATTGTTTACACTTGTTTCATTGTGTATTGTTTGTGTGCTGCTGCATCTGAATAAAAACGGTGATTTTGATTTTCAAATTAAAAAATGAATGATGAGAAAAATCTAAAGCATGTTGCAGTTTTTTTCATTGCCCTTTTGCACCACACAGCAGGTTGGTAGGTTCAAGTTCATACTATAACTGAATGCAGCAACAAGTGATGATATAAACAATTTTTATCTACTATACATGGGAAAGTAATTAACTGCTTTCACTGGTGTAACGTACCAAATGTGGTGGAAAACACACTTGAATGTGGTCACTTCACTCCACAATGTTTTCGATGTGACTAGACATCCTCCTGTTGACAGTCTGTGCCACTGTCTGTGCCGACACTCTTAACTGTTGAACCTTGTCTGGTTATGACTTTTCACAGTGGATGCTAACGGATGCCCATTCAAACTGGCATGAAAGAAGTTTCCCACAATCGCCTCACAACGGCTGCAGCACAGACAGGTGGCAGAGAGACAGATGTCACTGCCTGAAAAACTTTCCATGTGTAGCCACAACTTTCGAAGCACAGGATTTCAGTTTCACCAACTTCAAAAAGAGGCAAACTGAATGCTTGGATGTATTGTTTTTTGTAGTAAAAACCACACAATCTGCATGAAATTCTATGCACAATCTAGCAGAAGAGCTTGTATTTGTCTGACCCGTCTGTGCAACTACTGTAAAATTGAGAACTTCAGAACCTAATCAAGTCTAAATGGTGGGCTGGTGCACTGCTTTCCATTCCTCTCTGTTGTTGAGCTGTGGGTGATGAAATGTGTGTCACATAATCACAGTTTCATGACACCTCCAAACAAAAACTGTCGATGTCACTCTCTGATATCAAGATGAGATGAGATTTTCAAGGGGGAAATTTTCCTTGGGCAGTAGTGCCACACAGAGCTGCCAACAAGACAGCACAGTGCTACACACAATAATAAATTAGAAACAAAAACTAGAATTACCACCTTGTGGTTGTATGCCTCTGCAAACCAAGCTGCAGTTACAGTTTACATCCATGTCTGTGAAAACATGGATGTTTCATACACATCTTCCCTGCAGCAGCACAGAAGATCTATACAATCGGCACAGTTTTAAGGTGAACACTCAAGACTAGAGTCATCATTTTAGTATCTGACCAAATATCTCCTCTACTGTTTCTTAGTTGTGTTGTTAAATAATGTCCAGAAAAGTTTTTTTAACAGAACATTACGATGTCACTGTTAAGGTGACCTTTAACCTTTTGGATATAAAATCTCATCACTTCATCGTTTGATCCTATGAGACATTTGTGTGAAATTTTGTCACAATTAGCCTGTGAAATCTGAAGTTATGGCCAAAAACATGTTTGGGAGGTCACAGTGACCTTGACCTTTGACCTTATACCACCAAATTCTAATCAGTTCATTCTTTAGTCCAAGTGGACGTTTGTGCCAAATTTGAAGAAATTCCCTCAGTGTGTTCCGCAGATATCGCAGTTACGAGAATGGGACAGATGAAGTCACTGTGACCTTGACCTTTGACCTTCAGTCACCAAAATCTAATCACTTCATTGCTGAGTCTGAGGGGATGTTTGCGCAAAATTTGAATAAAGTTCCTCAGGGCCTTCTTGAGATATTGTGTTCATGAGAATAGGATGGACAACCTGAAAACATAATGCCTGCCATAATGGTGTGAAGGGACAACTGTACTTTTCTTTCTGATCACATTCATTGCTCTTTTCACCATGTTGTCAGTTCTTGATTTTAACTGGACTCTAAGGGTGATGCCACACCATATCTAATGATGCTTTCCAGCCGAACATTTAGAATTTTAACATGATTTCGGTTCCCACATTCTTGCATGTAAATTATAGAAAACGAATCTTTTCACTCTATGACTCATATAGAGTAGATTACTAAGTTCATTTTGGGTGCATCATGGGGAAGTGAATCTCATGCCTCACTTCCCCATGGTGCAAAAATATGCCATGTCCTATTACAAAATAGAGATAGAATGATCTTGGTTCCCACACCAAATAGTGTAGCCTGGCGGAGTTGGATCAGCACAGGACACAGAACTATCTTTTGGGGGTCTTTATTCTGAACAAAAGAATGTGGTGTTTGGTTACAATAAAATAAATAATAAGAGTTTCAAGATAAAACTAGCAGACTGTTCTCTGCTGTATCTGCAGTCCCCTTAGATAAACAAAAACCAGTAACCCCTAACACTCTGCTCTGTACTATGTAACCCTTTAGACCTGCCTAATTAATTTGTTACATTCACACAGTAGTGATACTGATAACCCTGAGCTACTGGTGCCTAACCCCTCTCCAAGGTGGACAACTGAAATCAGGATGCTAGTACGCAAGTGTGCAAAATGATCCCTCCAGTTTAGTACAAAAGTATACAAAAAAAATATATATCTCTGCAGACTACTATCAAAAATACAACTGAATAGTTCAGGTTGGCAACAGAGTGCAAAAATAACTATAGTGGTTCTCTCGACCCTATAACACAACAAGTTCACATATTCAGTTAACAGTCTTACATTCACAGGTCAAAATATTACAATGAATGTGCAGAATTATAAAGCATACTAACGTGTGCATCTGTTCCGGAGCACAAACAGTGTTAACGGCGGAACGTTAACTAGATGACATCCAATGGGTTTCTCTCAAGGCTATCATGAGACACAGCCTGTTTATTGGTCAGCATCTAACACCAACAGATTCATTAGCATACAACATTTTACAGTCTGTAGACATACATTACTTTTGAACGTGTATCACTTGGTATTTCATGTCACAGTCACATCTTATAACATATTTACCTTCCAAAACAGTCCATAAACATCGGGAAACGTAGCGTGTCCACACCGCAGTAAACAAGATGGCGACTTCCGTTTTCTGGACTGCTCTCTAAAACAATTCCCCCACATGAGACAGTGCCCTCTGGTGGCGTTAGTAACCAGCTACTTTTTCCCACCCGGCTACATAGTCTGAGCATGAAGTCTCTGAGCCAGCCTGGCACACAGATACTCATCGTGGGCACTCTATTTTAAAAGAGCTGTATGTGAAATTCTACACATATGATTCAGAGTCTGCACACAATTCTCAACATGGATATGGCTGAGCCAGCACCCAGCAGCTAATGGTGCTAACAGCATGAACAGTGCTAACAACAGCAGTGCAAACAGTACTAACAACAGTGATGACAGTGCTAACAGTGTTAACATGGGGAGGGTGCTACTCTGATGCAATGACGCCATTCCGCCACCGTGCGTTGGGACAGTGTCATCACCACTAACCATGCAGTGCAGGGCAGCAGCGATTAGTTAGCCAGTGGGATACACACCCAGGACTCAAATGCACCAACATGCACACTTGACTGCACCATCTATCACAACAAATATTACTGCACTATATGTTTACATAGCTGCTATATGAAGGCTCTGAATGTCGCATACAGCTCTTTAATTTGTTGTCCATTTGTATGCCCCAGTGTCTTATTCACCTTATTCCTGAGGGTGCTGCTGCAGAAATAATTATGGGTGTAATTTAGCATAAGTAGCTGTAAGGTAGTTAGTTGTCTTAACGGTCCAGGGTTAATCCCAGTGTGTAATCTTGGTGGCTAACCACCAACAAGTAATTCCAAAGTAATAGGAAAAGTGGAAAATGCTGGTTCTGGTTCAGCGTCAGAAGTTGCACCCATAATTCACACAAGGCATCAGGCTAGAAGGTTAGAAAGGCTAGCAGGCTAGAAATAAGGTGGAGCACACCTGCTCAGTTTCACTGTCACCAATGATTACAGCCACACTCTCACTGCCCTGGAGTCACATTGAATTTCCTCTGTTAAAAATGAGGCGGTTGCTGTCACACCAGGCCGTACAGTTGGCAATATTCCTGTGATACACTAAGAGGCAGTCGTCAAAACACAGCAGGCTCAATATAACTGCATCATCATAGTCAATACAAAGATTCAGCTGAGATTTGAGGTTGGCATCATGGCTTGTTGTGTTATCTCCATGATGCAAATCAACCCATCTTCATATCTAAACTATGACTGTATACTCATTAGTTTCAGATGTTTAGTTACGCTGTAACATTGGTTTCAAGTCGGAAGTTAAATTTAAAGATCTTCAATTCCATCTCTACCAAATGTTACTGTATGTTGACTAACACACAGGTCGACGAGAGGAAAAGAGAGATTGAGGAAGAGAAAAGAGAGGAACATTACAAAGTACATGTCAGCTGCAGTCTCACACATCGACTGTAAAAAACAAAAGCTGGCATGTTTTTGTGGTAACTGAGGTTGGCCCCAGACAATTGCAGCCTACCTGCTGAATTCAGGTGAGACCACAGACGCAGTCTTTCATTTTCCTCCTTTGTTCTGCTTCATCGTTCTCTCACGACAGGAAACTTTCAGTCAAGTCAATAACAACATGCTCCTGCTTAGCTGCAGAGCCGAGGCCTCACCATGGATGTCCGTGGGGACCCCTGGCACATGGCTTGAATTTGTCTTAACTGGAGAACGTTAATGGCAATGTTCCCACTCAGCACAGCTTTTACTTTGAATGAGTTTGTGTATTCAGGTTTAATCTACAACCCCAGCTTTGACTCTTGCATGTACATTATCATAAAACATATCTATTTAAATCTAGTGTATGGCTCACATAGAGTAGATCCTTTAGTTCATCTTGGGTGCACCAGGGACTCTCACACCTCCTTAAAAAAGAAGAAACTGTACTTATGTATTATATCCTTTTGCAAAAATACTGTTCATCATTTTGTTTTATACTGTTGTAAATAATCAGATTAGATGTGGTCTGTACTGGATGAGATATGATACATTTCAACATTAAAAGCTTCACTAAGGCCGTAATGTTTCCAGAACTATTGTATCAAATCGCCTATATTAGTCGTTCCAAAATGATTATGTGTAGCAAATCTTATTGCTTCTATCAGATGGGCTCAAGTACAGCTTGTCCAATCTTTTGATAGTATTTTACTGCAGAGAAAGCACTGTGGCTGTATTAAATCCTTGTTGTGAGTCTATACAAGACACAGTGATCCCAAAATTGTTGAT